GGTGCTTTATGATTCCAGACAAACTTTATTAGTGACTGTTTTAAGTAATTGAAGAATGTCATTGTAATTATAATGAGAATTTCATTGAATCTATATAATACTTTAGGTTGGATTATAAGTTTGACAATATTTATTTTTCCAATCAGTGAATTTGGAATGTTTTTCAGTATCCTTAGATCCTTTTCTGTTTCTTTCATTTAGTAACTTAAAGTTTTCATGGTATAGGTCTTTTGCATCTTTTCTTAAGTTGATTCCTAGGTATTTAATGTTTTTGGACATTGTCTTGAATTGAGTAGTCTTTTTTTTTTATCACTTCTTCTACTGATTTATTATTTGCATGTGGCAATGCAAAAGACTTTGTGTATTGACTTTATAACCTGCTGCTTTCCTTTTTTGGTTTATTGTTTCTAAGAGCTGTTTAGTGGACTCTTAATGACCTTCTGTGTATATTATTATTTCATCTGAAAATAGTAGTAGTTTGATTTCTTCTTTTCTAATATGGATCTTTTTTATTTCTTTTTCTTGCCTGATTTCTGTTGCTAGGACTTATAACACTGTATTGTGTAAAAGTGGAGACAGTGGACATTTTTTTTGTTCCTGGTCTCAGTAGGAATACTTTTAGATATTTACCACTGAGAATAATACTGGCTGTGGGTTTGTTATAGGTGGTCGTTACTACTTTGAGGAAGGTTCATTCTATCCCTGTTTTGTTGAGGGTTTTTATTATGAGTGGATGTTATATATTTTTCAAAAACTTTTTCTGTGCTGATTTTTAATCATACAATTTTCATATAAATTTGATCTTTCCTTTAATTGATACGGTGTATGCTGATTCGTGTATGTTGAAACATCTTTGTGTCCCTGGAATGAATTTCACTTGATTATCGTGATACAATCTTTTTGATATGTTGTTGTATTAGGTACACTAAGATTTTGCTGAGAATTTTTGCATCAAAGTTCATCAGGGAAATTTGTCTGAATTTTTCTTTTTCTTTTTTTTTCTTTTTGGGTCACACCCAACGATGTTCAGGGGTTACTCCTGGCTCTGCACCCAGGAATTACTCTTGGTGGTGCTTGGGAAACCATTTGGGATGCTGGAAATCAAACCTGGGTCGGCCGTGTGCAAGGCAAGCGCCCTACCAGCTGTGCTATCGCTCCAGCCCTTGAATTTTTGTTTTTAAGTAGTATCTCTGTTTGCTTTCTTTCTATGCTGGAGAGGTTTGGGTATTAGTGAAATGTTGCCTTTGTAAAGCTGTTTGGAAAGATTTCTGTTTCTTTGATATTTTGGAACAGTTTGAAAAGTAAAGGTAGTAAGGGTTTTTTGTTTGTTTGTTTGTTTTAAGACTTGCTATTACTCACCAATGAACCTGTCTGGATAAGGACTTTTATTCTTGGGGGAGATTCTTCATAACTGTTTAAATTTCCTGGCTTGCCTGTTCAGCTTTTTTAAAAATTTTTTCCTCACTCAGTTTTGGAAGGTTCTCAGTTTCTAAGAATACGTGTATTTTTCTAGCTTTTCCAGCTAAACAATGTGAAGTTGTTCATAGTAACTTCTCAGGATATCTTGAATTTCTGAGAGATAGGTTGTCATTCTTTTTCATTTCTGATCGGATTTATTTGGGCATTTCCTCTTGCTTTCCCTCATAGTCTATCCACGGGTTTTTCTGTCTTATATATTCTTTCAAAGAGTCAGCTCCTGGTTTATTGTTTGCTTGATTTCTATGTTATTGATTTCTACTCTATTTCCTTTTACTAATTTTGTGATTCATTTGTTGTTTCTTCTCTAGGTGTTTAAGATGTGCATATAGGTTGTTTATTTGAGCTTTTTCTTTTTTCCTAATGAAGGCCTGTGTTGCTATAAATTTCCCCTTTAGTATTGCTTTTGCTGTATCCCATAGATTCTGATTTGTTTCTTCACTTTCATTTCTTTCAAGGAATCTTTTTATTTCTTCTTCAATTTCCTGCTTGATCTAGTTGTTATTTAGTTCTGCTTCCAAGTTCTGTCTCCCACTTTCTATTTATGACTAGTTTCTATCTTCACGGTATTGTGGTCTGAGAATATGCTTGATATGATTTCTATATTTGAAATTTTATGTATGCTTGAGTTGTGACCTAGTATCTGGTCTTGATGGGTATTTTTAAAAACATTAGGAAAACCTCTGGACTATAATTGGCAGAAATTTTGCATATTTTCACCAATATCCTGGTGAGAAATTAAATACTCTCTATTCTTTCATAATTTCGAATATGTGTCCAACTCCCTTCTTTCTAACAATCTGTTGTGTAAGTGGTTGATTTTTTTTTTCATTGATCTTGAATTCTCTTCACATTGCTTCCCTCAAGAGTGCTTTATAATCTCGGAACACTGTGTTCACTAGCCTATCAAACTTCATTGTTTTTCCCAGAAAGCTATCTCCTATTTGGCTTCTATAAGATAATTTTACACTGTGTTTCCATGAACAGATGTGTGTACAGATGTGTTTTTAATGCATATTTTGAGTTTCCTAAAAATGACATTCTCTGTCCCTCCCCCTTTCTTTTTTTCTCTCCCCCCTCCACATTCTCCTTCTTCTCTCTCTGTCTCTGTCTCTCTATATATCTTTGTCTCTCCATCTGTCTGTCTGTCTGTCTGTCTGTCTGTCTCTCTCTCTCTCAGCTTTGGACATAAAATGTCATGGATCTCTATATTCATTTAAGCCTGCAGTTCTCTCATCAGGGTCATCAGGGTAAATACCTGACCTGGCAGAGGCTTCCAAAACTTGTCTGTAACCTGACGACCATTCTGATGATCAATATAGATGTCATTGGGTTGTTTAAAAAACTTTTTTTTTTTTGGAGCTGGAGCAATATTACGGTAGGTGAGGCGTTTGCCTTGCACGTGGCTGACCCTGGTTCAATCTTTGGAATCCCATATGATCCTCTGAACACTGCCAGGAGTAATTTCTGAGAGCAGAACCAGAAGTAACCCCTGAGCATCACTAGGTGTAACCCAAAAAGTCAAAAAAATAATTTTTTTCCCTTTTGGCTTATGCTTATGGTTCAGAATCTTACCAGCAGAAGAATATTTTTTTTGGTGGGGGGCGGGGGATAGGATTGCCACACCCAGAGATGCTCAGGGCTTATTCCTGGCTCTGTACTCAGGGATCACTCCTGGCAGCTTCAGTGGACCAAATTGGATGCCAGGGATTGAATCCTGGTTAACTGTGCACAAGGCCCTACCTGCTGTGCTATCTGGCCTCACCCACTGAAGAATTTTGTTTTAATAGAGACGTTTTATCTCCAGTGGTTATTTTATTATATTGTTTTCTGTGATAATCTTTTTTCCAATCTTCAGACTTGATTGGAGGGTGTGGCTCATGCATCAATCCTTTTGCATATTTGAGTCCTTGGGTCAGTCCCTGGTTCTTCGTGTCCGTTTTTTAACTGTTGGTTGCAGCACTGGTGGCCTCTAATTTTTAATTATTTTTAACGAAGGGAGGAAATCTTCAGACTTTTCTATTCTGAAGTCAGTTATTGTTACTAAAACCATTTAATCCTACATGACAGTTGAGTAAGGTTAAGAAAAATAAAGTTTAGGAAAGTAAACTTTAATCTTACATCTTTTTTTCAGAGAATCAAATAAGTCTGCAGTACAGAAGCCTTTGTAGGTACAGATTCCCTGCTAGTTGTAAGCTTTATTTAAGAAGAACTTGGGCCAGGAATGTGGTGCAATAGTAGACAATGTGCCTTGCATGTGTTGGGCTCTGGATTCAATCTTCCCCATGGCACCCCCAACCCCCAACAATAGAAAAACTCAAAAAAAATTTTTTTTTATTTTTTATTTATTGAATCACTGTGAGAACAGCCACAAAGCTTTCCAGTTTAAGTCTCGGGTGGTCATACTATGCTTAAACACCCATCCCTTCACCAGTGTACATTTTCCACCACCAAGAACCCCAGTATACTCCCCTCCCACCCCTTCTCCTGCCTGTGTGGCAGATTTCCACTTTACTCTTTCTCTCTCTACATTGATCACATTCAATATTATGACAAAAGACCCACCATTATTATTTGGAATTTTCCCCAATAATCAGACCTGCCAAAAAGACATCATTAGATAACTTGTTTTCTATTGCTGATTATAAAGAGCATAGGATGTCTTGAATTTCTGATATTTTAGTAGTAAGTCTGGAGGGAGTACTGCCAAAAGCCACTGTGTTCTGAGGTTGATTTGTGTACCTCTGGGATCATGGCCGTGCAGGAGCCAGAGGAGGCATTTGTGGGCAGCAACTCGGGGCCTTGTCAGGGTGGGGAGCAGGGCCAGTTCCACCCCCTATCCCATGAGGCCCTGCATGCCTCGTCACTGCAGTCTCATACTGTCCATAATGGCTGTCCATTAGGCTCTGAAAGATGGTGGCCACCATGCTGCCTCTGCTAGGGGGAGAAGGTGGAGGGACAAACACCCTTCGCATCCCTGGGTGGCATGGAGCCATAGTTTAATGACAGTCCAGATGCATTTCTGCCAAAAGCTAGTGGTATCCGAGATTGATTTGTGTGCCTCTGGGATCATGGCCATTCAGGAGCCAGAGGAGGCGGTCGTGGGTGGCAACTCGGGGCCTTGTCAGGTGGGGAGAAGGGAAAACTTTCATTTATTAAGTACATTTGTTAATATTGACATTTTATAATTTCTGTAAACACAGTCCCTTTGTTACATTTCACTAGAGCTGCTAAAAAGGAATAAATGATTTTAATTAAAAAACATTAATGCTCCTCTCTTAAATAGTACTAGTCATTCCTGCTCATACTTAGCTATCTAACTTTTTTTTCTGTCACTGTCACTGTCCTCCCTTTGTTCATCGATTTTCTCAAGCAGGCCCAGTAACGTCTCCATTTTGAGACTTTGTTGTCACTGTGTTTGGCATAACGAATACATCAGGGTAGCTTGCCAGGCTTTGCCGTGCGGGCGAGATGTTATTCTTTATATTACTGTGTTTTATTTTTACTTTTCCTATTTCTTGCAGGTACTCTTGGCGTCACCAACTAAGGGAATTTAAAAGTGAATATCGAGTTGTAGCACTGGATTTAAGAGGCTATGGAGAAACAGATGCTCCTACAAATCGAGAGAATTATAAATTGGACTGTTTAATAACAGACATAAAGGATATTTTAGACTCTTTAGGTAGGTCAGTTTTTCTTCCTTTATTTTTTAAAAGTTTTTATTTCTGGGGAACATTCAACAGATTTTGAATTGATGATATATTATTTATTAATATTTTGGATGGGGGGTAGTAGGGTCACACCCAGCAGTGCTCAGGGCTTACTCCTGACTCTGTGCTTATGGGTCACTACTGATGGGCCTGGGGGTACCAACATGGAGTGATCAAATTCAGGTCGGCCATGTGCAAGGCAAGCAAGCACCTCACCCACTGTACTCCAGTCCCAGATAACCTTATTTCTTGGGAGGACATGTTTGTATACCTGAACTGCTCTCTGCATGCTGTTACCATGGTTTCAGGTATACAACCTAAAATATTTATGCAGGGAATTTAAAATAATATATTCAGAATAATGATTCTGCCAGCCAAGACTAACTTTCAGGGTTTTTTTTTAAAAAAATACTGATGTTACAAATTATTTCCATTGGTATTAATTATTGGAAATTTTATTTCTTGTGTTCAGAAGATTAATTTTTTTCAGATCCTGAATTTAAATATTTTAATGTTATGAGATGCAGGAACAATTACATTTCATGGATTGATCAGCTAGGGTAGCAATGAAAGAGGATAAGAAACCTTTCCAAACTCTGGCATACAGCCATGGGTGTATATATTCCCTTGCTCTTGCATCTGCAGGTTCACTATCTCCATCTCTGCCTCAAACTACAGATCCAACTGTACTGGCCTCTCTTTGTGGTTGGGCACAACATAAGTAGCTTCTTGGGGGATGTTTTTTTCCTGGTCATGGTATAAATGACAGAGTAGAGTCCACCTGTACAAACATACTTCAAATTTCTGGTACCAAGTCAAATGACTGAACTCACAACCATGAGACATGTGTCACCAGCCATGAGATAAAAGCAATTTACATGAAATGGGCAGTAAGAGAGTAGAAGTAAATATTTTATTAACTAATAATCTGCCATATTACTTTTGTCTAAAATCCAGTTGCTATCATCACTATGGTATTTAGTGAGATTATTGTAGCTCAAACCAATATTCTTAGAGGAGAATAAATGGATTAGATCTGGGCTGTCAATGCAATGTTGTCTTTTAGTTTGATTACAATAAAAAAAAAGATCCAGAGACACTGATTTCCAAAAGCCATGTTTCATTTATTTTGGGGAAATGTGTTATTCTTGTGGGTGAGAGGAGGCATACCTGGCTGTGCTCAGAGCTTGTTCTTGGCTCTGTGCTCAGGGATCACTCCTGGTGGGGTTCAGAGGATCATATATGTTGCCTGAGATCAAACCGGGGTTGGCCAGGTAACCCACTGTACTCTCTCTCTAGCCCCAGCCACACTTTATTCTTTTTTTGGTAATTCAATAAGACCTACCCTAAAATCTTCACCACTCAATTTTCTAGGCAAATTAACAATACAAATAAGATCATTTTTTCATTCTCTCTTCACTCTTTTTCTTTGTGTGGTAGTATAATAGCAGGGGTGATGATGAGATAAGCTTAAAAAATAAGTGATTTTAAGCACTCTATGAATATATTATAAATTAATCCTAAACCATCTAAACAAAAGAAATTTTGTAGAATATCTATTAATATTTTTGTTTATTTATTTGTTGTTTTTTTGGCCACACCCAGTGGTGCTCAGGGCTTACTGCTGGCTCTGCACCTTGGGATCATTCCTTGCAGCTCAGGGAACCATATGGGATGCTGGGATGGAACTTGGTTCAGCTGCATGCAAGACAAGTGCCCTATCCGCTGTACTATTGCTCTGGCCCCTCTAGAAGTATTTTAATCTAATTCAAGTTACCATAATGATAACATAAAATGAAGCTTGTTCCCATGAAATGGAAATTTATGCTATATATAGATTTCCTAGTAATTCAACTTGAATTTGCAGTTCCAAATTAGTAGACTTGTAATACTGGAATTCTGAAGTTAGGGGGAAAAAGAAAGGCTTTGTAGAAATAAAGATTTAGAGTTGAATTTAGATGGGGCACTTATAATTTTACTTTAAGCAGAAATTTCTCATTACTCAAAAGTAATTCAGTCTTGCTTTTGACCTAATTATATGTATTTTTCACTGTGGTTTCTAGGCTCTTGTCACTGTAAGCAAGTCTGAGCTGGCTATCTCACATTTTTCAAATATATACATATATATGTGTATAAATACACATTCCTGGTAGAGAATCTGTAGATCTAAAGTGGAGCTTTTGCATGAAAAATTTCTAAAATTCTGCCTAGGTAATTAAGGCATACAGATTTTGGAATCACCGAACTCATTATCTATACAAAGTGCTTAATTTGGTAAGATAGTAGAAAGATTTGCTCCAGAAGTTGATTGAGCCTGTTTAATGTAAGTAATAATGCACCTGTTTCCTTTTAATTATATCAGCATATATATTTTCTTGACACAGGGTATAGCAAATGTGTTCTAATTGGCCATGACTGGGGAGGCATGATTGCTTGGCTGATTGCCATCTGTTACCCAGAAATGGTAATGAAGCTTATTGTTATTAACTTCCCTCATCCAAATGTATTTACAGGTGAGTTTAAGATTTCATTAAAATATCTTTGTTAATGTGACAAATCACTATTGTATGTGACATTTTGGATCAAAAGCAAAATTGGTTAACATTGTATTTTTAAAAATCAGAGGACTAAAATTTTTCATGACAATGTCAGATAACCTTGACTTTCAATCTTCCTGAAGTCTAAAAATATTTAGTTTTGCATTTGCTTATGTAACTTTATATTCTTTTTAGAAAACATTGTACTGCTAATTTGGGAAGGGTGAAAGAAAAACTACTGTGACCATACTTTGAGAGTAATGAATCTTGACAGCCTAGAGATAAATTTTCCTCCTGCCTGACTGCTTTGGCTGTCAGGAATGGCAGCACTGTCTGAAGAAGCAATTTTCAAAAATCTTGGTCTCAAGACAATTGTAGCACTGCACTGTAGCACTGTCCTCCCATTGTTCATGGATTTGCTCGAGCGGGCCCAGTAGCGTCTCCATTGTGAGACTTGTTACTTGTGTTTGGCATACTGAATACGTCACAGGCAGCTTGTCAGGCTTTGCCGTGCGGGCAAGATACTCTGGGTAGCTTGTCGGGCTCCCCGAGAGGGGCAGAGGAACGAACCCGGGTCAGCCGGACCAGCCATGTGCAAGGCATATGCCCTACCGCTGTGCTTTTGCTCCAGCCCAAGACAATTGTGCTCTTAAAAAATTTTAAATACCTCCTTGGGATTTTACTTATATGGGTTATAGGTATAAATATACAGATTTTTATAGTTAAATTTATAATGTATGTATTTAAATTTTCTTTTAAAATTATAAGGTCCATATATGTTAATATAAATAACAATTTAAAGAAAGCTACATCTCATAAAAATATTTTACTGAGAAGAATGTCACTGTTTCACATTTTTGCCAAACTAACTTTTGCTTAATAGACTGGGGGGTTTTGAGGTGAATTTGTGCATACAATGTTATGATAAGCTGTTTGAATTGACATATATGAAGAAATATGGCCATACACAAGGTTATAATTAGGAAGGGGCAGGTATTTTATCTTTAGTTTTGGTGCTGGGGATTGAAACTTCCTGAGCTCTACCAAACAGCCTACAGCCCTGGCCAAAGAGAGAAATATTTTAATAGCTTTTACAGATTAGTGGAAATTTTCATGTCTAGATGAAACTCAAGTGTTGGTGGTTTCTCAAAAATTAATATTTAAGTAACATAAATATTAATATTTGTAACAACGCAAATTAATATTTGTATTGTTACATTAAAATCTATTGGTTTCTCTAGAACTTTGAATAGATTTTTTTCCTTCATGTATTATTTTCTTCATCACACGGGAATATAGTGGTTCATTGATTTATTCAGATCTTCATAAATGAACATATTTTATTATATGATATAAAATCACATTTATTAACATCACTCCAATATTATAAAAATGCCTTTAAGTATTTCAAAGCTGTCAAATTCACAGTAGCACGTATAAGATTCCAGAATTCTCATTGTACTTTGGAAGCTTAATTTTGACAATGCTATTGATTGTTTTCCATCAAGTGTCTGGCTTGCTTTGTTCATTGTCATGAGAATATCTGCAGATTATCCCAAGACGTTCTGATGATACTGTTCTTTCAAATGAAAGTGATGTTCCATAAAAATACAGCTAATTCAACTCATCAGCTCAATTGTGGAAAAGTAACACTCTTCCTCAAGACAAGCTGTGCCCTGGAACTGCTCTCTTCATGAGTACTTTCTGTTTCCTCACACAGAATGTTTATTGGTTTGTGAAGTTTGAAATTTAACAAATTAAGTTTTGCTGTTCCATCAACACCATTCTTAATTGAGACTATTAATTAATTAGTCTTTTTCACCACAAATGTGTGGTGGTGAAGAATACAATGATGATTAGTACTGTCAGTGACATCATATTGATTTATACTAAGGCAGCAGTAATTTATCTACCATTACTCCTGTAACATCAGCACAAATGTCAGCAAAATTAATTCAATGCCTTAGAATTATTTTGACCCAGTTCTGTGTCAAACCTTCAAAGGGTTTTAAGTAGCCTCAGCATCCACCTTAAATGTACTCTGATTTAGAGGGAATGCTTGAAGGACTGGAAAGATAGTATAATGGGTAAGGTACTTGACTTGCTCATAACTGCTCTGGATTTGATTCCTGTCACCCAAGTTGGTTCTCCAAGCCTGCCAGAAGTGATCCCTGAGTGCAGAGCCAGAAGTAAACCCTGAACACCACTGGATATGGTCCCAAAACAAAACAAACAGATAACAAAAATAAGAAGATCCACTTGTAAATAATGGCTAGGCACAATTTAATTCTTTTTGGTTTTATTTTTGTTTTGAATCCAGACCCAGTGGTGCTCAGGGTTTACTCCTGGCTCTGTGCTCAATGGTCACCCATGGCAAGACTCGGGGGACCATATGAGATGCTGGGGATTCAATCCAGGTTACCTACATGCAAGGCAAGTTCACTACTCTTTGTATTATTGCTCCAGCCCCCACATTTTAATTTAATTCAGTGAAAAACTAGTATCTTGACCCTTTTAGTCCTATCCTTTTCAGTTTTTCTAAGTTTCAGATACTACTATTATTCACAGCAATCCTATAGAGAGAGAATAAACAGAAAAAGCGGAACAGCTTATTTCTTTCGCTGAATAGATGAGGAAGAAAGGGACCATGACTGACTAAGTACATTATATGTATCGCTGTCCTTCCGTTGTTCATTGATTTGCTTGAGCTGGCCCAGTAACGTCTCCATCATGACACTTGTTGTTACTGTGTTTGGCATATCGAATACATCATGGGTAGCTTGCCAGGCTTTGCTGTGCGGGCGAGATACTCTCGATAGCTTGCTGGGCTCTCTGAGAGGGGCAGAGGAATCGAACTCAGGTTGGCCATGTTGGCTGCATGCAAGGCAGATGCCTTACCCGCTGTGCTGTCGCTCCAGCCCAACATTATTGCCCCTTATACATTACATGTATAAGAATTAAATTCTAACTATAGATTGAATTGGTTTATCTGTTGAGGTAAAGAATAGATGCTTATGACTGAAGTAGAAAACTGAGATTCATCATATTCTCAATGGCATTAGACAGTGAAGTCATGTTACATATTTGTTCAATTGATCAGGTTAGGAACAAACTGTAATTAGTCATGTCAGCACAAGGCTAGTTGCAATTATTTTATCAATAATATGTTTCTGAACTGTTTTATCAATAATTGATTCAACTCTGGTCAAGACAATATGAGGTATTTGAGTAATTTGCTCAATGCCTCTAAAAGCAGGGCTGAATTGAATCTTGTTTGATTATGACTTTGCAAAAAGTATCTCATAATAATGCTGTACAAACCTAAAAATTACATTTCTAAAAACTTTAGCTATGCTGAATATATTTACAAAACCAACAATAAAGAATGACCTCAATTTCAAGGAAAATTTAAAAAATGTATACAGCACATCCACAATAAGCATGTCTCCTTTTTAATATATTTAACATTATCCCCAGTATAAACCTTTAGCATCTTCCCAGAGCATTTAAATTCTCATTATTCTGATCCCTGTGACCCAGCTTCTGCTTTCTGACTCATCTGTCATTTCCCTCCTTCACCAAAGCTGAGTCTCATGTCTTCATTCTACTTCTTTTTTTTTTTTTTTGCTTTTTGGGTCACACCCAGCGATGCACAGGAGTTACTCCTGGTTCATGCACTCAGGAATTACTCCTGGTGGTGCTTGGGGGACCATATGGGTTGCTGGGAATCGAACCTAGGTTGGCTGCGTGCAAGGCAAACTCCCTACCGCTGTGCTATTGCTCCAGCCCCTTCATTCTATTTCTAAGTGTCATGCGCAGGCCCTTTCTATTCCTGTAGGCTCTTAGAACATTGGATGGCTGACTCCTTTTTGCTATTGAGAACTCAGCTCACATATCCATAGAGACTACTCCAACCATGTCTAAAATGGCTAGTAGGCCCTCCCCAGCACATCACTATGCCTCTCACTCAGAGGACCTTTTTAAAAATTTTTTTGGCAGTATTACTATCTAAAAATGATCTTGTAAAGCATTTGTTACCTATTAATTATGTATGTTCCTTATTAGTGGGAAGTTTTTCTGTCTAAATCACTGCTAATCTCCTCTCACACAGGAGATACTCATAAATTCATTGAAGGAGTGAATTATCTCTCTACACAAATGAATTCCTAGAAAACACTTCAGCCCCTTCCATTGAGGTCAAAGGAGTAAGTTATTAAGATCAGCCTTTAGAAAAAATCTTTAAACAATAATAAAAATTACCTCTAATATATCCCCAAGAAGAGAATTAATTCAGTAATAATAACCTTGAAGGAAAGGAAATGTTAATTTGGTTTCCTGTTTCTCTCTGAGTCAAGTCTTCCTAACATGGAAAAACTTTCTTGTTATCTAAAGGCTATAAATTTTCTGAATAGGCAAAAATGCCCATGATAAAATAATAATACCATAGAAACAGTTTCAAAAAGAAACACATAGAAGTTTTATTTCTGGATTCTTGTAAAGAAACTATTTCAACAATAAGTAATTTATAACCTTGCATAAGGTCTAACCTGACATTTTAATTTCAGAATATATTTTACGACACCCTGCCCAGCTTTTCAAATCCAGCTATTATTACTTCTTCCAAATACCATGGTTCCCAGAGTTTATGTTCTCAATAAATGATTTTAAGGTAAGTTGAACTAATAGTGTATTGTTATTAATGAAAAACACTTCAAATTACAGTATATCCTTCAGTAAGAAAAATAGACACTTGCTGGAGTCCTTCTAAGGCTCATTAGTTATTTCTGTAGTCACTATATTTTTCAATGCCTGACTATTGTTGGATTTTTTGGTGAGAGTCTGTGCCCTTACAGGCACACCTCTTTTTTAGAGAACATTCCATAGAAAGAAGAGGGAATTTGAATGCCAAGTGGGAGAGCTTGACAGCAGCAAATGGAAGCTGTGTTGGTAAACAAAACCTTCAAAAAAAAGTAAGCACAGAGGTATTGATGTTACCATAGACACTGACACTAGTTGTAGGTTGTATATAATTATTGTAAGCTTATTGAATATTTCTCATATTAGATATTTTGGAGACTTGAGGATCACAACATTATTTTATCTGAAATACTTCTATATATAACTTTGACAGATAAGGCACCCCCATCCCAAATTCTGTTGCCATTATCAAACCTGACAAGATTAACAATGCCCCTAAGACCCCTGGACAGCCCTCAGAGAGTGACCTCCTGGGGTAGCCTTATGTTAGATTTCAGCAGTGCCCAGAGAGACTGGTGGCCACTCCTGGCAGTTTTCTGGCAACTGGGTTGTGTGGCTTCATCGTCTTAGCAGCAGTAGCTACTTACCTGGTAATGCTGAGGGTCACCAGGACCCACTCAGTGGTGTTTGGGAATTGATATTGTGTCCCTGTGCATACATAGTATGGACCCCGAAGCTCAGATATCTCCCATGTTTTGCTTTTTTTGACAGAAATTCAGATTTGGTGTTGCCCCCAAACAAAAAACAAATAGAACATAATTGAATTGAAATATTATTATATATAATAATAATATAGGGTCTATTTAAACTTTTGTTTCAGGAATATATATACATATATATACATATATACATATATATACATATATATACATATATATAATATTAGACCAGGTTGTAAATATGTTTGTTACCCGAGTGATCGTCAAAAAACTTGGAACAGGGGCTGGAGCAATAGCACGACAGGTAGGACGTTTGCCTTGCACGCAGCCGACCTAGGTTCGATTCCCAGCATCCTCCAAGCACCGCCAGGAGTAATTCCTGAGTGCATGAACCAGGAGTAACTCCTGTGCATTGCCAGGTGTGACCCAAAAAGCAAAAAAAAAAAAAACAAAAAACAAAAAAACTTGGAACAACTTTGAGGGTAGTGACTTCATTGTCAGGACATGGATAAACTGTTATCAGCTAGACTGTTAGGCAATATATTAATATATTTTATAAGGGTGAAGTGTGCTTGTGAGATTAGAAAGGATAAGGCCAAAAACAATGTATAAACAATGAAGTTCTCCAACCTGATAACAACAGAAATTATGAGTTGTCACTGTACATTACCTTTCAGAAACTAAGGATTTATTAGATAACTAAACATTTAAAATTATTTGCTTTCACTTAAATTAGGCTTTGAAGCATCTGTTTACTAGTCATAGCACTGGTATCGGAAGAAAAGGATGTCGATTAACCACAGAAGATCTTGAAGCTTATATTTATGTCTTTTCTCAGCCTGGAGCATTAAGTGGCCCAATTAACCATTACCGAAATATCTTCAGGTCAGTATGAGTTTGTCTTTCTTTTGTTTGAGTAAGACATTTTAGTCTAGGGTTGGGAGATTTAGCTCAGCAGGAGAGCACACAATTCACATATATGAGGCACTGGGTTTATCTTCAACACCATAAAAAATAATAAAATACAATAAATATTTCAGTCTAATTATAAAAATAACAGTTTATTTTTAGAATTAGAGTGTGTTTTATCTTTTTTGTGTTGTATTGTTTGGAGGGCCCACCTGGATGTGCTAATGAATTACTCCTGGCTCTGTGCTCAGAGATCACTCCTGGGATGGAGGAGTGATATGTGGTATGATCCCCACTACCCTATATGGTCCCCTAAGCAGTGACAGGAGTGATCCCTGAAGACAGGGTGCCAGGAGTAAGCCCTATGCACCACCAGGTGTGTTCCCCGCAAAAGAAACAAAATACCAAAGAAATTTAGAAGGAGAAAATTTAGAGTGAAAGATAAGCATAGAGATTCATATTTGTCCCTGGACCCTAGATAGAAGGAATATATTTTCTATGAGGGAGGCTCCGAATCAATGCTCAGGGAGACAAGGAACTACTCATGGTGATATTTAGCTAATTGGTGATACTTAGCTAAGTATTCACGCAGTGCTCTCAGGCCAAGCAACACTAGGAATGATCAAGGCACCCAGCAGTCGTGGGAAGAGATTTGAGTGGGCGAGGGGTCCTGAGGTGCAGAGATTATGGCCTTGCACACGCGCTTCAGCCTTTTGAGTTATCTCTGAGACTCTAGAAAAAAAAAGTTTTTTCTCTTTGTGTGTATCTGGAGTAGGGATAGAGGGGCATGTGGATACAGCCAGTAGTTCTCAGGACAACTCCTAGTTCTGTCCTTGAGGTTGCTCCCAGTGGTGTTTGGGGACTTAACCAGGGTAAGCTCTTGCAAGGCAAACACATTGACTCTGACACTGTCACTCTGGTCCCTAGGTAAATATTTTCTTGGAAAATTATCAACCATTGTCTCCTTGAAAAGGTTCAGGGGCTTGAATATATGCTACCTCAGAAATGCTGGGATTTTCTGATAACAAATTATCGTTTGACATCTTAGACTGTAATACTTCCTAGGAAATCTGGCAGAACCAAATACAAACCATCCTCTCTGGAGGATGCATCTCAGTTCAGACTCACTATATTGCAACTCTGAAGAAGAGTTTATAGTCACAATTACCAATGCTTTATTAATAAGTCAAAATTTCAGTAGAACTCATATACACTTCAAATAATATATTATAATTGAATATTAATATACTATCATTTACATTTTAAAAAATTCTTCTGTGGTGTCAGGAATTGAACCCAAGCCTCCATATGTGCAAAGCATATTCTGTACTGCTGAGCCACATTCCTAGCCTCTGTCAAGTATGTTTAAGTTAGAAAATATAGAGCCGGAGCAATAGCAAAGCAGGTAGGGTGCTCACCTTGCATGTAGCCAACTCAGGTTTGATTCCTGGCATCCCATGTGGTCCCTCAAGCCTGCCAGGAGTTACTGAGTGCAGAGACAAGAGTGCAGTCAGGAGTAACCTCTGGACCATTGCCAGTTGTGCCCGCCCCCCACATAAATAAAGCAAAAAGTACAAGAACAACTTTTAAAGTAAGAGAAGGATGAAGAATACCAAGACAAACTGGAAAGAGCTAAAAAAGAACCAGAAGAACTTTTGGAATAGAAAATGGGAATGTCTGTAATATCAAGACAGATTGGAAAGAGCTAAAAAAAAGAACCACAGGAACTTTTGAAGTGAAAAATATGGCTATTGAAATCTGAAGTGATGTTAAATAGCATACCAGACAAATTAAATAGAATTATGAATTGAAATACAGATTTTTTAAAGTTACCAGATAAAAAATGCCCAATGGCAACAGAAACTGAGAACTGTTCTTCAATAGGAAGCTTACCGCAGAGAAAGTGGACAGGGGATTAGGTTATGGGGGACACTAGGACAATGGTGGAGGGAAGTGGACAATGTAAGAGGGTATGGTGGGGGCTAGACAAAATCACAGCAAGTAGGGCATTTTCCTTGTACATGGCTTATTGGGGTTCGATTCCCAGCATCCCATATGGTCCCCTGAGCACAGCCAGGAGTAATTCCTGAGTGCAGAATTAGGAATTCTGTATCGCCGGGAGTGACTCCCCCCCAGCCCCTCAAAAAAGAGGGTATGGTGCCAGATTATGTTATGAATGAGAATACCATTAACAGGATTGTGACCCACAATGCCTAAAGTACACATTTTTTTAATTTACCTAGAATGTACCTAGAAAAAAGTGAAAATATAAGAATGATTTGTATATACATGCATGCTAAGAATTTCTGATGAAATATTAGCAATGAAATTTATTATTTCCAAACCAAAAACTGTCAATTAAAAAAAAAAGCAGGAAAGGAGAAAATGGGAACAAAACAGGGAGAATAGAAAGCACAGGTAGGGATGTGGCTTAGTGGTGAAATGGCAGCCATGCATGTAAGACTGGGTTCAATCCCTGGTGTTGCAAAAAAGAAAAAGAAAAGAAAGAAAAGGAAAAGAAAAGAAAGAAAGAAAGAAAGAAAGAAAGAAAGAAAGAAAGAAAGAAAGATCACAAAAATTATTTTGTCAGTAGCAGCATATTACTATATTCAACTTGCCAGTTAAAAACAACATGCCAGGTGCATCCAGCCAGCCAGCTTGGCACTGCCCAGTTCAGCTAAGGTCCCCCAGCACTAAAGCCTGGCAAATGAGGCGTCTAGACTCTGAGTGAACTCAGAAAAGCCAACTTTTCCCCATAGGTCAGGAGCAAACCCCTCCCGTGAAGGTCCTTCACTCTGTAGCCATGCTTTTCCTCACCTCTCCACAATACATTGTAAACATATAAAGACACCCTACCTGTAGGTTCCTAAGCACATAACAGTGCACAATAAACAACCCCAAACTGAAAGTCACAATGGTAAAGCAATGTAGAAAACCACCAGACTTCATGAGAGAAGACGCTAGCCCAGACAGCCCAACCAGTAAGAATGAGCTATAAAGCCTCTCTGATAAGGAATTTAGAATAAAATTGTTGAGGATGCATAAGGAGCTCTAGGAAACAATGGAATGCCCTGCCAATAAAATATAAGAGAACATGAGAGGAGAAATGACAGATATGGAAAAATCTGGTAGATGAAATTAAAAACTTGCTGAAAGGCCTCAGTAGCAGAGTAACAGCTGCTGAGAATAGAATCAGTGGGCTCCAAAATGGGGTGCAGAGAATCTCCAGACAACAGCAAAAGATGGAAAAAGCCTCAAAATAAAACAACAGATGACAAAAGAACATTGGGATGAATTCAAGAGGAACAACATAAGAATCACTAGATCCCTCAGACATAGAAACATTGCTCTTATCTGTGGAATATGAAGTAACAGAATGGGAGACAGACACCCAAGAATAGTTGAGATAAGTACCAGGAGGTTTGCTCCATGGCTGGGAAGCCGGCCGCACATGGTGGGGGGAAAGGCAGCTCACACAGAGAAGGGAACAACAAGTAAAGGATGTTTGGAGGATCCGCTCGAGATGGTAGATGCGTGCTGAAAGTAGACTATAGACCAAACACGATGGCCACTCAATACCTCTATTGCAAACCACAACACCCAAAAAGAGAGAGAAAACCAAAGGGAATGCCCTGACACAGAGGCAGGGTTGGGGGGGCGTAGGGGTTGTGGGAGGGATACTGGGATCATTGATGGTGGAAAAGGGGCACTGGTGGAAGCATGGGTACTACTCATTCATTGTATAACTGAAACGCAAGCACAAAAGTTTGTAAGTCTACAACTGCACTTCATGATGATTCACTAATAAATAATTAAAAAAATAATCAGAGGGGCAGAGGGACTTAAGGAAAAGCAACTGTCAACGCCATAATTACTGAAAAGTGTCCAGAGCTGAAGAGTGCTTGTACCCAGATCCAGGAGGCCTAAAGGATAAGTTAAAAGAAAGCCAAATGAAAAACATCCCAAGACACATCCTAATCAGAAAGATGAAAACCATAGATAGAGACAGAATACTGAAAGCAGCAAGATCAAAGATGGAAATTACTTACAAAGAAGCATCCTTAAGATTTACAGCATACTTATCAGACAAAAGCACTCTGGGTCCAAAGATAGTGGGGGAATATAGTGAAAAAACTAAATGAAATGAACACCTCACCGAGAATACTTTACCCAGCCAGACTCTCATTCAGATTTGAAGGAACAACACAAAACTTCACAGATAACAACTCAGAAACTTCACAGACTCAAAACCATTGTTATAAATAAGAACTAAACAGGATACTTTAAGGTAAGACAAGCCCCACAAACAAGAGGGAACAAAATGCCATAACAATGTTTTCTCTCGATGTCAATGGACAAAATGCACCAATTAAGAGGCACAGGGTGGCAGAATGGATTAGAAAATTGAGCTGAACATTCTGCTGCCTGCAAGAAACACATTTGAACAGTCAGAGCAAACACAAACTCAAAGTTAAATACTGGAAAACAATCCTTCAAGCAAACAACACCCTCAAAAAGACCGGGGTGACCATACTATATCAGACATAGACTTTAGACTGAAAATGTTTATAAGAGACAATGAAGGCCATTTCTTAATGATAAAGAGATCTGTACATCAGGAAGAACTAACACTCCTAAACATATATGCACGTAATGAGGAAGCAGCTAAATACTTCAAACAACTGCTAACAGACTTGAAAGACATTGATAACAATACAATACTAGTTGGAGATTTCAACAGTGCTTTGCCACCTCTTGATAAATCAACCAGACTAAGGCTCAGCAAGGAAAAACTTTATTTGAGGGAAGAAATGAAAGAGGGGGAATAGTGTGTGTGTGTGTGTGTGTGTGTGTGTGTGTGTGTGTATCCAGCATATACAAAATGCTGGATACATACCCTTCTCCAGTGCTCATGGGACATTCTCCAAGATAGACCACATGCTGGACCACAAAACATATCTCCATAAAATCAGGAG